CTTTGTTCTATTAACCTGGCATTCCATGATGCTCACCTTTGCGACAAGATCGCTGAAGACAAAGTGGGTGCATAAACAAATGTGGTGAAGAAAGCTGATGGAGCCTGGCTATCAAAAGATATAGCGTGTAGGGTCTTAAAGATTTGAAGGTAAACAAGCAGCCATCTAGCTGAGAAGCAACAAAGCCCACATGGAAGCAGAACACCAGCCTGTGTGATCACAAGGTGTCGAGGGGATGAGTTATCAGGCATCAAAGAACAAAAAAATCCTATCATTGTGAATGAGGGGGGAGTGCGGAGTGGGGACTCAAAGCCCATCTGTAGGCCAGTGGACATCCCCTTACAGAAGGGTTGCGGGGAGGCGAGTCAGTCAGGGTGCAGTGCAGCAACGATGACACAACTTTCCTCTAGTTCCTAAATGCTTCCTCCCCTCCACTATCATGATGCCAATTCTACCTTACAAGTCTGGCTAGACCAGAGGATGTACACTGGTACAGATAGGAACTGGAAACACAGGGAATCCAGGGCGGATGATCCCTTCAGGACCAGTGGTGAGAGTGGCGATACTGGGAGGGTGGGGTATATAGGGGGAACCGATTATAAGGATCTACATATAACCTCCTCCCTGGGGGACAAACAACAGAAAAGTGGGTGAAGGGAGACGTCGGAGTGTAAGATATGACAAAATAATAATTTATAAATTATCAAGAGTTAATGAGGGAGGAGCGGGGAGGGGAAAAATGAGCTGATGCCAGGGCCTTACCGGGAGAGCAAGTTTTGAGAATGACGAGGGTAACGAATATACAATTGTGCTTTATACAATTGATGTATGGATTGTGATGAGTTGTATGAGCCCCCAATAAAATGATTAAGAAAGAAAAAGTTTGTTTAACGATTAAAGTCCTATATGATCTGGAAAAAAAAAAAGAGTAGAAAGCCTCATCCTTCCCGAGGAGCTGGCTGGTGGTTCCAAACTGACTGTGGTTAGCAGCTCAATGCGCAAACACTAGGCATTGAAGGTAGCATTAGTTTTGCCAGTGGTATAGAATGTAAAACACTGTTGAGAAAAGGAAATCATACAAGAATAAGCCCACTTGGAACTGTAATACATGGATTATTGACTTGTATAGATAAAACTCTTAAGTGATTGATACTATTTACACAATCGATGAAGGTTGGTCATAGGGAAAATCTTCCAATATTATTCATTCACAATAGCAGAACCACACACACACACATATATAATTTATTTCTTTAAATAATTTTATTAGGGACTCATACAACTCTTACCACAATCCATATATACATCAATTGTGTAAAGCACATTTGTACATTCATTGCCCTCATCATTCTCAAAACATTTGCTCTCCAGAACCACATATATTAATAACGCCACAATGAAGCAAGGAGGGCATTAAAATAGTCAGTAGATGCTAGTCCTGGGCCACTATTCACTAGGCACCCTCAAGGCAAGAGATCCAAACCAAAGTTCTATGGCCTTGGGCTAGCAGTTGTCCGCTTTTTTTTCCACACTAGGGAACTTCATCTTTTAAGTCCAATGGCTACAGGTGAGCTTGAGGTAAAGCCCAGTGTCCTTAGTTTTCAGAATCCTTCTGGTTGGTCTATGAAGGATGTTGTGGGCTTTGAGGGAAGAGTCTAAAGTGCCAGGAGTCTATCCAGCTCTTCTTCCTTCGGGCTGGTCAGGGCCCTCTCTTCCGCTCAGAGGGAACATTCTCAACTTCTGGTTCAATGGAACCCAGTGTCTCTCCAGCTGGGAGCTTTTCTCATTTTGGAACTAAGACCTTTAGACCCATAGAGCCTAGGACTATGAGGACAAGAAGCAAAAAGCTTGTGAGAGGGCCACTAGGGCTCCTAGTGAGAACCACCACTCTCTTTTTCACCCTTTGGTTACTGGAGCTGGGAATCTTGGCTATGAAACAGCTGATTTAAGGCATATGCAGTCTTCTGGAGAACACTGCCAACCAAGCTTACAAACTATTGCCTCCTAGCTGGTGCCATAATTGCATCTTTAGAAAGCTAACTTATTGTTCTATCAATATAGCCACTTTAGGATGGAGAACATAAGATCAGTGACTTCCATGAGTATGGGTCCATTGCCATACTTCATTTGCTGTGATGTGAGGCTTTTGATCCAAAGTGATGCTAGGTGAGATATCATAATGGCAGATAAAACATTCTGTGAATCTGCAGATATTTCTGTGGAGGCATTACATGCAGGTAAAACAAATTTGCATCCAGAGCAAGTTTCTATCCCAGTAAAAAAAATGAAATATTTTTCCTTGATGAGAGTGGTCCAACGTAATCAACCTGCCACCCAGTGGTGGCCGATGAGCTTGAGAATGGTGCCATATATGTGAAGCAACAGCTTACTCAGGTCACAGCACTGATCAGATGCAAGTTTCCTGGTGTATGTACTGCATCACCTTTTATAAGAGACAAAAAAAGTGAGCACAGAGAGATCTGTCACCAAGAGGAGTTGGTTGCAAAGAGCACCTGATTCATAAGAGCTTTCTAGACCAGGGGAAGATTGAGGCCAAGACACATGGAAGTCTCCAAGGATACACAGGCTCACAGATGTTGAGATAGGGATCTTGTCAAGTTGGTTTGTGTGAACTTGAGTAGGCCAGGATCCTCGGTAATGTGGCAGCAAGGCCTCCCCCATAAGGTACAGGTCATAGCTTGATGGAGTCTCCTTGGGACTGTGGCCCTTAAGATTGTGGAGGGCTGGCTCTCTTCTTGATGGTCTATAGACTCTAGACCATGTCTCTGATTTCATGAGACCGCAGCCAACGGCCCATCATGTGGCCTGTGGAGCTATCCATTTTGCCTACCCCCTGCTATGTCCATGCTTCATCCCCTTACCTCATGGTTTCCCAGTGCTGGCAGCTGTGATTCCAGTTAAAATCTAGCCCACAGAATTCAGTCAGACTGAGCCTGCCACTCTACAGTTATGGGCTGCTTTCTTGATATTTCTTTCTTGACATACTTCTTTTTTATAGATGAATGCTACTGGTTTTCTCTAGAAAACCCAGTCTAACACAGACCTAAACCCAGAGCCGACAAAGCAACTTTCCCTAGAGCTTGCATCCTATTTGGACTTCTCACCTCCTAAACTGGAGAATGAATTTGTTAAAGCCACCCACTTGTGATATTTCTGTCATTGCAGGACTGGATAATGAAGCAGTGAACATCCACAAAACACAAATACCTCCAATTCTGAGACCCATTTAGAGATGTCTACCCACATGCCTCTTCACCACCAGTTTTCCAATCGTGTTTTTACCAAGTCTCTGACCATTCAGCCAGACCATTGTCCACAGCCTATGAGTGACACAAGGGAGCTTCAAACATTTCCTGGGAAAAAAATTCCATTCAACAAACTTTTTGAAGTCTCTGTATAATCACACATTTGGACATTTCTCCTAACAAAGTGAAGCAACCAACAGCTGTATTGTTCATTCTGCCTATTGTGAGGATTTCCCCTCACTAATGTCCTTCATTAGTAGATTCACAGTAGTTGCAACAAGGGGCTCAAACACACAAAAACAGTTGTGAGGATGCCACAGGATTGGGTGGTGTTTCCCTCTATTGTACAAAGGGAGGGTAGCTAGGAGTTGGAACCTACTCAATGGGACCTAAAATCATCCTTCTTGGACACCCCAGCTGCAGGGCTACTGTTGTTGATTGGTGACTATTGCTCAGAACCATCTGTAAACAAGGGACGAGTATATCTTCCCTTTGAAGAATGCCCCAAAGAATCTTAGGTATAGAGGGAGGGGGAAGGTTAAGTAACAGGAGTGAAGACTGGGCATTTGGGCCACATCCTCATGCTTGTGCCTTTGGGTCCTACTCAGGCCTGATAGCCCCCCCACTGCTTCCATTTCATGACGGAGTGCTGAAGTACATGGCAAACTTTGAATCTGGGGCAGGTTAACACCCAGATCATGGTGGGCCGTTTAGGTCACTTAGTGGCTCACGGTTGACATTTAGTCTCTACTAAAGCTGTTTCTCAAAAGGAGATTAATGATCTGCAGAGCACGGCAAAGGCTTTGCTCCCAAACCCCAAGGGTTTGTATGGTGATTTATCAACCAGGACTTACCAAACACTTCAAACAGCATCTCTGTCACTGAGAATTCAAGCACCACTGGATTGGCAGGATCATCTGACCCCAAGTGGCAGGGCACCTTGCATGTCAACTTCAACCTCCTGAAAGGCTTCCTCTTGTTCTGAGACCATCTAGGAAATGGATCTGCACTCAGACTCCGGGTTTTGCTCTCTGGATCTGGGGGAAGACTTTCAGGCTTGGACTTCAATTCTGCTTGCTAGGCCCACTGGGATAATGGGTCTCACTCAGCTCTCTCATTTCAATTCAAAATGTTGTCCCAGCAGTTCTTGGAAATCGCCACGTATTGCCATGAACCTTCCCCATGTGTAGAATTACGGGACAGGGACCTCTTACTACCAAGCAAGAGCTGAGCGCAAAATTTGTCCTTTGGGCCACACCTCTCTGCAAGAAAGCCTGCTTGAGGTGGCCCACTGAATTCAGACTTGTAGCCTCTTACAGATGTTAAAACAGCGAACTACCCACCTGTGCAACACAGCACGGGTAGATCTCTGCGACCTACTACAAGATACCAAGTATCTCTGGAACTTCAAAAGGAAACATTGACTTAACAGTGGAGATAATTAAAACCCCATTTATAGCTAGCCTGCCAAAATCAGATTTGAAAAATCAAGGAGTGTTTCTATCAAATTTTAGGGAGTCTGAGGAAGAAGGCCTTCATTACACCTATTTTGTTTCTTATTTCAAATTAGTTGGTTTATTTGAATGATTTTTGAATTAGGTATGAAGGAAATAAATGTAGATAAAGCATGACAAACATTAAGTGACTATGTGTGACAGTACTTGCTGACCCAGCATACGATATGGAAGACACCAAAATGCGGGGTTTTTAACTTTTACCAGACATCACAGATCATTACCAGAACATCACGTAAGTTTATTTCAGATATAACAGCAATGTTAAAATTGACAAGTTTAATTCTTGACTGCACCAAGTAAACTTAGCCATTTAAGTATTTTAAAAGTTATTCCCTCCAAAAAACTGAGGGAGCTTTTCTTTTTCACCAACACACACCATGGTTTCCCAGAAGTTCTGTTTTTCAGAGGACTTTCAGTGGAGGAGTGAATTGCTCTGAGGAAATTTCAGAACTTCTTTCCCCTAATGAAAATGAATGGGAGCAAATTATTTTTTGCATAGATTTCTCTGCAGATTCTTTTAGACCCTAAACGCAAAACCATCAGTATCCCCCCTCCCACTCCCAGAATGATTGTTCCCTATTTACCCACAGTAAAAGAGGTCTATCCTGAAAAATATGATGGGCAGGACTGTGAGTTTAAAGTTAACAGAATTCTCTTACCGCAAACAAGTTTTTTTTCATACATCCAAATAAACAACATGGGACATTATTTCAGTATTTACTGACTGACTCACGGCCATACGAGCTAGGGCTGAGCTGCTGCTACCTAGGTTCTCCTCCACTTCCACCTCCATGAATGGATAGTACAATTTAATACAAGCTAGATGTAGGAGGATTCACTCTCTACAAACCTTTGCAATGTAGTTTAAGCTACTAACTTGAGCGGGGAAAGAAATTCCACATCCTCGATTCAACATTTAGTTATGTCCCTCCCCTGTTGAAATAACATGTACTTCACTGCCGTGTGACAGTTATTGTTTTCAATAACCACATGTAGGGATAAATTCACTGGACTGATTAGATACTCCAATTGAAATGGTTATAGAAACAGGCAGTGTCATCACAGAAATTAATTTACATGTCAAAATCTCTGTTTTGCTACTGGGATTTTTAGAAAAATGTTAAATTTTTCTTCAAACAAACGATGCTTTCTGAAACTCAACGCACTCTTCTCTTGGTAAGAGCCATCAGAATTTACCATTAAAGGTACTTTATACTAAATCTCTCTGTTGACATTTGGACTGCTTAAGAACCAATACTCAAGAAACCGGTGTGCTCTTCCCATAGTTTTACTATCTTAAGATTAGACCCCCTCCATACACACTTGTCAATTCTCTCTATTAGTCTTGGCACTCAGTAAGACTGTTGAAGTCTATTGTTCGTTCACATTTTCTCCAGTAAGAATTTAAGATTACAAGTGCAAAAACATTATACCAAATCTTTTTGTCATTTAACATGTTTGCAGAGATGAGACTTATTTTAAAGTCAAAAGACAGAAAATTCTAGCCCTGTGCAGTGTTTCAGTCCAATGAGAACATCTTGCTGGGCTATCACTATTGGCAATATAAAAAATTATAAATATTAGAGATTGGACGATGAAACTTTCAGCTGTCTCCCAATTACAAGTTATCAACCCGTCAAATCCATTTCCTATACACCAGAAAAGAATCTGGTATCAATCATTCTGGTCAATAGAGCAGGTCACAGTGACATGTGCATTAACACTTCTAGACGTGTGTCTTCCCAAGAAGAGAAGCATTATATATTCAAACCACTGCCCCCTTTCCAAATCCTTGTGCGCGATGTTGCAGGCACAGCGTGGAAACAAATCTGGATGTCCTCCGACAGACCCGTTACAGCACAGCTATGCTATTTCCCCAAACACTGTCTAGATATTCCTGCCTTTGTACTGTCAGACCTTAATGGCTACAGGCTGAGCCACCTGTGCAGCCACATTCAGTGCGCTTCCTGTACCACAAAGGCCACAAGCGGTTCCTTTCGGGTACTTTAACTGTGCTCGTGAGGACACCTGCTTCAGGTTGGTTGGAGGGCAGCGACCTGGGAGCATCCACTCTATCTCTAAGGTTGGACAACTATTGTTGGGCTTACTGAAGTCAAAGGACCAGAGCCAAAATGGAAATCACAACAAACCTCTGAAAGCAGGTAAAGGCCTTATGTCTAGCTGGGATATTAAAAAAATTAATCTCCACAGCCCACACACTCACAGTTAATGCCACTAGTAACGATCCGCAGCAGGGGAAATGAACCTGCTACCACGCAGCCCACTCATTAGCAGAAAGCCATTCACCTCAAATACTGAGACCAAAATATAGAACACGACCCACCCAAACTGCCCCACCCACCCTTAACCACCCACCAGCAGGAAGAGAGGAAAGGACTGCTTCAAAAAAGAAAAAACAAAACCAAACCCACAACAAATCAGCTGAGTATTTCTTACAAGGCCCACAAGGGTCCAATTCCGGAGACAGAGCTCAGAAGGACTGAGGTGGAGCGAAGGCAATGTCTCAGGATGGCGCCCCAGTCTTTGAAAACCCAAAGTACCACACACTCAACTGTCTGAATTAGAACACGCTGCTGCTGCTGCTGCTGCTCTTCCTCCATGAAACGCGTACTTTGTAGGCTCTGCCCTTCAATGTGAAAGCAGGGCATTTAAAAATCTGCTAAAAGTTCCGAAATTAGTGAACACACCAAGTCTTGGGACCCTAACAACTGAACTGGGAAACGTAACAGCTCTACTCTACTGTGTCCTTCTTTCAGTCAAACCATCTCACAAAAGTCAGAGAACAAAAACTCTCCAAACATGATTTTTGAAGTCCTTGAAAGTCTGAAATCTTGTAGAGGAGAGGAAAGGAGGAGAAGAGTCACAAGAATGAGGAGGAGGGGAAGCCTGCAAAGAAAGGGGGGAATCAACGGGCCTCTCTTTTATTTGGCGACAAGCAAGTGCAAGAAAGTCCGTTTGTCCCGCGTTCAGTTGTCTATCTTTTGCACGTCTGCGCTCTGGCCAGAAGGGATTTTGAGGCTTTTCTGGAGCACATGTGCATCTGCGGGCTCTATCCTCTTATAGTAGTTCTTCTTTGTCTCAATAATCTCAAAGCCAAACTTTCTGTAGAAGTCGATTGCTGACTCATTGCTGATCTGGACATGCCTGAAATACAAAGGGCATTTAAAAAGGAAAAGAAAAAAAAAAAATCAACTTTTAAGTTTTCTCTACAGATAAAAGAACTACCCCCATGAGTTTCTGAGATTGTAAACTCTGTCCAGAAGCAGAAAACCTGATTTTTCTCGGTCTATCCTATTGTTGGAATCAACTCAAAGGCAATGGGTCTGGTATTTGCATTTTATTAAAAATCCAAACTCTTGTATTTAGCAGCCCAATGCTAAGCCACCAGGGCTCTAAAAATCCGAACTCTTACATTAGGCAAAGCAGCTGGGTGAAATTACAACACTTGATTATTCTGTTTATTCACCCTGTCTAGCTTAACATTTAGTATTAGTAGAGATGAGATTCTGAAACTTAAAATGGGTTAAACAACCCTGTAATAAGTAACATATTGAAACATGGAGGGGAAAATAGATGAGGCCAAAACAAATCCCCTCTACCTAGGGCTCAAATTCTTGAAAATCATCTTTTCCAATCAATTAAAAAAAAAGTTTATTTTGAGTCAATGATCGTTTGAATTTCCTCATTTCTTTCCCTAAATAACATTAATAACTTCGCAAGCTAAAAAGTATAATAACCTTACTATGTATATAGAAGACTTATCAATGGTTATAACTGAAGCCTTGGTTCTTAATCCAAGGCTTCCATTGAAGGAAGTAGCATCATTCTTGCGAGGTGGCACCATCTGATGTTCAACATTAAACTACTTACTCTAAGAGCAGTCACTGGTAGTCTTTAAGAAGCAAAAAAGTTCACTCTGAAGACCTGAGTTTTATTCTTGGTCTCATCCCACTGACTTCAGAGCTCCTACCTTAACATCATGAATAAGTCTTATTTCAGTTTCTTTATCTACTTGTGAAAAACAAAACTAACCAACCAAAAACCCTGTAGTAACTACTTCTATGGTGCTTCTAATTAAATAATAAAATATGTGCCAGGATTTAAAAATCCTAGTAACATCTTGTGTCAATTTATTAATATTTCAGATAAGAACATTCATTCCTATTAATCGCAGATAAAAATTATTTTACTTACAGATAGATGTTATCAAAAGTGCCATCTTTTTCACAGATGTTTAAGACATGATTTAGCATTTTAGTTCCTAGAAACAAACAACATTAATTTTTAAATGACAAAGTTCGTTTGTTATTTCAGAACATGGACTTGGCGATTATCAATATTATGTATAAAGTACCCACTATTGTTAGTTTCCAGAGTTGACTTCAACTCATGGCAAGAAATTCTTATTTCCCAAAATTGTCTTCACTAATATTTACACATGGTTAAAAAATGCTAGCAGAAAAAACCTTTTATATACAACCTCTTTCAGCTAAAGAGAAAGCAAAGCAAAATAGCAAAAGCAAAAAGAGATACAAATAACACATCTGTATAGGGCAGGCTTCCAAGTGAATAAACACAATTTTTATAGGTAGTCCCTGGATGGTACAAATAGTTAAATTAATAGGCTTGGCTGGTACTCCAAAAGTTGCCAGTTTGAGTCTACACAGATCTGTCTGGCCATCCACTTGGGGGTAGGGGTGGGGGTGGGACGGGGACCCAGCCCTTTGTAATCTAATGGAGCACATGTAGTTCTACTGTAACCTATCTGAGGTCACCCTAAGTTGGAATCAACTCACCTACAGCTGGTTTGGGTTGGTGCTTAAAAAGTGTTCATTGTAATTCATACAACTCAGGAAATATTTCCTAGCATTTGTAAAATAAATGGTGACTTAGTCAACCAGTCAGCATCAGTAACAGTGTCATTTGTATGCCTTCTTAAAGAAGTACAACAGAAGCCACAATTTTTACCTATTCCTAGCCTTCGGTAAGGTGCCAGACATCCTAGTGTCATGATGTAAAGTCTCTTCTGATTCTGTGAATGATCCACCCTGCAGCACACAGCACCAACCGCAATATCATTGAAATACGCTGCCAAAGAAAATATAAAGATATAAAAACCCCAAAAGCAGACAGACACATTTAACTTTCTCATTCTCCTTATAAGGACTGAACTGTTACTATCTCCATTAAATTTTACCAGCCACTCTGAAAATCTAACCAATAACTCCACCCCAAGCTTCCTACATTGTCTTGGAAAATTTAAATCTTCCTTTCGGATATATAGTTAAGAAGTAAAATTATACGCTGGCACACAGCAAATTTTATTTAAAAAAATTTTAAAATTAGCATCTCATTTTTTCAAGTTCCACCCCGCCCCCTGAATAGGCTTGCATTTTCCCCATATAAAGGAGATTAATTTAGTTGTCTAAATCTGCTCAAGTACTTAAAAAGCACATGAAGGGAGAGGGAGGGGAAAAAAACAAAAAAAGTTTATACCAAGTTTTGCTAGCTCGCCAACCTCCAGCACATCCTTGTAGAACTTGTCATTGTAGCTGACTGGAAAGATGACCTGATTTAATCTCTTCAACTGTTTAATATTGTGTGGAGTCACATCTCCCAGCTCGATCCGGCTACTGGAACAAACCAAAATGTGCTCAATAACGCAACAAATGAAGGCAGTCATATTTTAAAGGCGAACATTTTTAAAGGCACCAAGCTTTTGTTCACATTAGCAATATATTCAACCCGTTCACAGTGACTATATTCTTAGATTATCATTTCTAAGCAAATTTGCCAGCCATTCAGTCCAGATTATACATATGTATACATTTAAACACAAATGTAGTATACAAACAGTAACAAGCTTAGAAAAATATTCTACAATAAATATCCAAATTTTCTTTTTAGACATCTATTGCTGATCAGAAGACTGATGATATATAATCATACCGACTTCTCTCTAATCAATTCAGACTCATAGTGACACTATATAGGGTTTCCCAAACAGTAAATCTTTCTGGGAACAGACAGCATCATCTCTCCCCGTGGAGTACCTGTTGGGTTCAAACCATTGACGATGCAGTTGGAAGCTCAATGCTAACCCTTTTGTACCAGTAGGGAACCGTTATAATCGACAAGAAGGATGAGGCTCTCTGTTCCTGTAAAGATTCACACCCTTGGAAACTTTGTATAGGGTTGATATGAATCAGAATGGACTTGATATTAGTGGGTTTAAAGATGCAATCTAAACAGGTACCTCTGGAGGACAATCTAGCATTTTATAGTAAAAAACTAAAAATTATATCCTTCACTATCCAAATAATCCTACTTCTAGGAATTTATTATAAGAAAACAATCCAAATATGCACATAGAATAGTGGTCCAGAAAGAGCATCAAGGGGCAAAATGCAAAATTCAAATTCCTGGACTCCACCCTTAGAGCTTAAAAACCACAATTGCTGGGAATGGAACAAGGGAATCCACATTGTAAATCTACACCACTGTTTGAAAGTCAATGGTCAAAAAGGTATCTGTACCACAATGGCTGGGGACGGGAAGGATAGCTGTGCAGGCTGCTTATACACAAACAAATACTCCGCAGGACTGGGTTCCCTGGTGGGGGACTTAGGTTCTTGATTTCCTGGGACATCTCAGTCAACTGGCTTACTATCATGACTAGTGCTTCTGCTCTACCACCTTGTTCACTGTGTCTGCCTGGAGTTTCAAGAGCTTGTACGCAATCATTGAAGGCACAATAATTGGTTGACATTTGCCTGGAGCAACAGGGAGAGGAAAGTCAGAAATGGAATGTCCGGCTAATTGCCTGGAAGGACTGCCCCTTAGTCATGACCCCCCAAATGGCTACCAACACTAAATATTTTGATCAGTTTGGAGACCACTCTCTTTGCTAAGGAAGTTAGAAGCAAAAATAAAGGGGAAGATATCCTACTTTAAGCACTTCTGTCATCAAGAACAACAACAAAATAGTATAAAGTTCTCTGTCAAATCTGAAAGTTTACAAATCTTGTCCCAGCATATCAAAAGTCCTAGCAGCCAGTGTTAAGATGCAGCTATCTTAATAAGTAACACTGAGATTTTCTTGCTCTAGCCCTTTCCAAATTTCTACTCATGGATCTTTATTTCCAAACCAAAGCGAGCATTGTCACTTTCCAAGAACCTTACTATTGTAATGTTCTCATATGGAATTCATGTCTTTCCCCCCCCCAACTGTTAAGATCACAGTAAAACGCTATTTGCCACAAATCCTTTTCTGATTAAAATCTAGTGGGTTCTGGAGTCCCCGTGTGGTGCAGAGTTAAGGGCTTGGTGACTAAGTTTAAAGACGTCCCATAAAAGACAAACTCGGTGATCTGCACCCGAAAGGCCACAGCCACGAAAACCCTATTTGGCAGCTGTTCTTTGAGCACACAGGGCTGTCAAGAGTAACACTTTCCCCCTGATCAAAGTTCTTCTATAGAATCTTAGATTTTAAAATGTTTTATTAGTGGTACCATCTAGTCTCATGGCAACAATACCAGTTGTTCCCAAAGGCAATTGTCATACATTCCATTTTTCCTTCCTTTTTAAAAAATATCATTTTATTAGGGGCTCATACAACTCATCACAATCCATACATACATCAATTGTGTAAAGCACATTTGTACATTCATTGCCCTCATCATTCTCAAAACATTTGCTCTCCACCTAAGCCCCTGGCATCAGCTCATTTTTCCCCTCCCTCCCCAGCCCCCTCCCTCATGAACCCTTGATAATTTATCAATTATTATTTTGTCATATCTTGCCCTGTCCGACGTCTCCCTTCACCCACTTTTCTTTTGTCTGTCCCCCAGGGAGGAGGTCACATGTAGATCCTTGTAACCATTTCTCCCTCGCCAACCCACCCTCTCTCTCTACCCTCCCAGTATCGCCACTCTCACCACTGGTCCTGACAGGATCATCTGTCCTGGATTCCCTGTGTTTCAGTTCCTATCTGTACCAGTGTACATCCTCTGGTCTAGCCAGACTTGTAAGGTAGAATTGGGATCATGATAGTGGGGGGGAGAAGGGGGCAGCATTTAGGAGCTAGAGGAAAGTTGTATGTTTCATCATTGCTACATCTTTTATTTGAATGGACATATCCTTTATCGCAATAGTTTAACATCATCACCTTAAAACCCCTTTTACCACGACTTAATGAAAGTTTACAGAGCAGATCATGAGCTTTACATTCAACCATTTAGACACATTTTGTTTCACTTAATCCATGCCAATTCTCTCATTACATTATCGCTTATTCTATTTCTTCCTAATGTTTCCTGTTTCATTTTCAATGTTAAGTTTGACTATATTTGATACATATTTTTCTTCTTTAAAAAAAAAATCATTTTATTGGGGGCTTGTACAATTCTCATCAGAATCCATCCATCCATCCATTGAGTCAAGCATTTGTTGCCATCATCATTCTCAAAACATTTGCCTTCTACTTGAGACCTTAATATCAGCTCCTCATTTTCCCCCCTCCCCCTTCCCTCATGAATCCTTCATAATTCATAAATTACTGTTATTATTTTGTCATATATGTTACACTGTCCGACGTCTCCTCACCCCCACCCCCATTTCTCTGCTGTCCATCCCCCAGGGAGGAAGTTATACGTAGATTCTTGTAATTGGTTCCCCCTTTTCCTTCCTCTTTTATCTCTTGCTTCAAGTAAATGATGGATAGCTGTTGTCCCTTGGATAACCATTCATAGACCCCAGGCAAATATAGGAGGAAGCGGAACTGCAGTACTAAATACCAGTGAACTAGGATGCTCCATTAAACTATGACCCTAGAGCGCCAAACCAAGGAACCAACTCCCATGAGGTGCTTGGTTACACTAAGCAGCCTCAGAGGCTCTTTGTGTGATTGTAAATAAAGGGGGCTTCAAAAAGTTCATGGAAAAATTCCATTTTCCGAAGAACTTTTTGAAGCTCCTTGTGTTTTCAACTTTTTACACCTGCCCAACTTATTGACTGCAGTTACAGTAAATAGTGGTGCCACCCTATTCTGACTCAATGTGCTCTACCCCTCACACACATCAGTGTAGATGGAAACTCAATGTTCATCCCTAACCCACCCACCACCCCACTTCCATACCAGCAAACTTCGGTCTCCATACATTTGCCTGGTTTGTCTTTTTATATAGCTTAACTCATTGCCATCAAGCTGATTCCGACTTACAGTGACCCCAAGGCAGAACCGCCCCTGTGGGTTTTGAACCCCTGACCTTGGGTTTAGCAGTCCAACATGCAAGCTTTCCAGGATTCTACTCTAGCCAACAGCAGTTCAAACCAACCAGTCCCGTCTCTAGAAAAAGATCACAGTGTTTTAGTCTCAGGTTGCTGAGTCAGAATCAACTCATTGGCAGTGCTTGGTGTTGTGTGTGTATGTTTTATTTTTTGGTTAGCATTACTAACTAATTAAATCAAGTGTACATTCGATAAGTCAATTTAAGTACAAACAATAGGGGACAGAAACAGATGGGATACCTGAATGTGCATGTGGGGCTGAACTACAAAGGGCCTTAAGAGAAGTTATTCAAAACTCTTTAGACCTGTACATCAAAAATTGGAATAGAGAAATATGGCTGATTGCACTTTTAGGGTTGGCAAGTAGGGTCTGACAGGCAGACAAATGGACAGGGCAGGAATACCAAGAAATATCCAGAGTTAACAGATTGAAAGATAAGTTCACCCCCTAAAGCTTTTGGAGAGAACACGGCCTTGTTCATATCCTGAATCCAGAAATGTGACAGTAACTTTCTGTGTTTGAAAGTTATCCAATTTATGGCATTCGCTATGGCAGACCTATGAAACTAATACAAATTCTGAAAAAACAAAACAAAACAACAACAAAACCCCAGCACTGAGCTGTTTAACTGCAAGATCAGCAGTTTGAATGTATCAGTGGCCCGTGAAAAGAAAGATGAAGTTGTGTGCCTCCATAATAATGTAAAGTATTAGGAATCCAAAGCGCTAGTTCTACATTGCCTAAAGAGTTGCTCTGAGTTGGAATCGACTCGATGGCAGTGAGTCTGCTTTTACCAGCAGTTCTCATCAACCCTTTCACAGGGTTGCACACAGGAGCAAAAATTATAGTTATGAAGTAGCAACGAAAATAATTTTATGAGTGGGAATCGACTCGATGGCAGTGAGTCTGCTTTTACCAGCAGTTCTCATCAACCCTTTCACAGGGTTGCACACAGTAGCAAAAATTATAGTTATGAAGTAGCAACAAAAATAATTTTATGGTTGGGGGGTCACCACCACATGAGGAACTGTCTTAATGGGTCGCGGCATTAGGAAGGTTGAGAACCACTGCTATAGGGTATTAGGATGTAATGCACGGTATTAGTGAGTAGTTTATTGATTAGAAATC